TTGGATAACCAGATGTTCTTGGACTACAACTCCCAAAAATCCTGGTCAGCACAACTAGCAGTGGAGGCTTCTAGGAGTCTTAGTCCAGGAGCATCTGGGGTTCCAATGCTGGGAAGTACTGTTTTATGCCATCACACTATGTAGGAGGTTTTGCTGCAACTATTTCATGTGTAATACAGGATAGCCAATGGGATAAATTACAAGCACAAATGGGTAGCCTTTGTGTTTTTGTTCCTGTTATATTGTTTTTTTAAATGTTCACCAGACACTAGGGATGCATACAATCAATCCTCCTTTCTTTGTCATCAACACAGGTAATAATAAATGCTTGAGCAATATCCTGCAGACAGTAATCTTGTAGTGCAGTGTTCTCATGTGGTCTACAAATAAATCCATATTTAGAAAATATCTAGAAAAGTTGGGGAGAACTTTTTAAAAAGAGAGGTTGCAAGACCAGCTGGTGAGGCAGGTCATCTATTGTACCACTGGCAAGAATTTTGGCAGTATAAGGAATTGCTAAAAAAAAAAGGGGGGGGGGAGATACCAGCGATAGGGACTCACGTTGTGGAACTTGCTGTCAAGTCGGACTTGAATTGTACTAGTGACTCGACTTAGGTTTTTACCCTCAATGACTTGGACTTGACTCATGACTTGGAATCCTCCCTCCCCCTCTTTTTTTCTAGGGGGGAAGCTTCCTTTTAATAGGGATTCTGGTTTGGGGATTGGGACTCTGGACTTCGTACCAAAGACTTGGACTCAGACTTGGGACTTGGACTCAGACTTGGGACTTGGACCCAAAGACTTGCCAACATCCCTGGGAGATACTAAAAACAGAGTCAAATTAGTGAGGTTGGGTAATTTTAATCCACCATTGGAGATGATCAATCAGGAAGAAAACAAAATAAAACAAAAAAGAAGACAAAAAATGTTGTGGCATCGTAAAGACTAACTGGGTTTTTTAAATGTGAGCTTTCATGGACCAGTCCACTTCCCCATTCATTAGATTGGGACTATATGGCAAATATATGGGACGATATGGCAAATATTTTTACATTTATACATGGTCCTAAACTGGAGACTGTAGTTCGGTACAGGTTATTGACCTGGCAATGACCTTTAAGGCCCCTGTTGATACTCAGTTACCCTCCCAGGAAACATTGTTCAATAAACAATGGCAACGACTGGTGGCTAAATTAATTCCAGGCTGTAGATAACGAGCAGGAACCACATGGGAATGGGTATCTCTAATCACCAATGGAGCTTGTGAGGCGGCACTGGTAGATATCAAAGAAATATAGCTGGGAATTTCAGCATTTGAAATGAGAACGCAAATATCCACACAATGCAAAGTGGGCATGGTGACAGTCCAAAATACTGATGTATGAATGTTGTAGTTCTTGTGCTAACAAATCAATAAATCTCCAAGAGATTATTAAAGAAATGAGAGCATTTACACTATATCCTTCTGTCTGAATATGCCTGGGAACATCTCAGATATACAGAACCAAGAATCAATTACCAAAGGGGGGGGGAAGCAAAGTGTGCTTCTTATATACTGCCTCATAGGGCTTAAAGTACTCTCTGGGCGGTTTACAAGTTAATTATGCAGGCTACACATTGCTCCCTCCCCCAGTGAGCTGGTCATTCAGTTTACCGACCTCGGAAGGATAGAAGGCTGAGTCAACCTTGAGCCGCTACCTGGGATTGAACCCTGGGTAGTGGGCACAGTTTTGGCTGCAGTCCAGCAGTTTAACCACGAGGCTTCTTGTACCAAAACAAACAAACAAAACACAAAATGAAAACAAAACCCCTCTTAATGTGTTACTGTTTTGCCCCCACTGGTATACTCGAGGGAAGAACTGCATGAATTCAATTGTTCAAAAAACCTCCAGTTTATGAATGTAGGATGTTGTGCTTCTTTATCCACAATAAAAATGCCAGAAAATGGCCGAGTATCGCTCCACAATATGGCACCCACGTTGCCAGAGGAAAAAGGACGCCAATAAACCCCTCTTAATGTGTTACTGTTTTGCCCCCACTGGTATACTCGAGGGAAGAACTGCATGAATTCAATTGTTCAAAAAACCTCCAGTTTATGAATGTAGGATGTTGTGCTTCTTTATCCACAATAAAAATGCCAGAAAATGGCCGAGTATCGCTCCACAATATGGCACCCACGTTGCCAGAGGAAAAAGGATGCCAAGCTTTACCGAGGAAAGAGCAGCTTGAATGTTGATGACACCAATGGCTGCAGTCTGGATGGTCTACCGGACACACTGATAAATTTCTGCTAGCAAATTGTAGAAATTTGATAAAATAGAAAACACATATTTATTGTTTTAGGAAAGCCATTCTGAGGCAATGCAGAAGAAAGAATTCTAAATTTTAAACAGAACTTAATGTACGGACTTAAAATATATGGATTTATGCTTATAGCTTATATGCTGATAGCCATCTTGAAAGGGTCCCCATGTGCTACCTATCTAACAAAACAGAACATGAGCTTATTTCCAAGAAGGAAGAAATAAAGTCTGAAAATAGCAATTTCCATATCAACAAGTGGTTACATAGAAAAAACAAGAGGGGAAGATGTTACCTAAGCCCTGTACCCACCTGTTTACCATGTCCCACGTCACTCATTATACGTTCTGGTGCATTAAACTACCAAAACAAAGAGTACCCAAAACTTAATTCTCAATGTCGTAGTGCCATAAGTGATCCACCACTAAGCAGGAAAGAGAGCAAATAAGCTCTGAGGGGGAAAAGGTCATCAAAATATTCATGAAAGCTATAGCTCAGCAGCCTGGGGAGAATACTGAAGCTCAGATTCTCGCAGAAGTGGGGGGAAAACAGCTAGCCATAATATTTAATTGAGAAATATTTTCTGAGGTGTAGATATGCTAGAGGCACAATATATGTGAAACTTCACTACGAAGTCATTATGCTCTATTGGTTGGAGATGTTGCCCATAAATATCTCATCAATATGACCAGTCAAGGATGGCTGGGAGGGGTACAATCCCTTATTTGTCACTACCAGAGAGTCTGCGTAATGGTTGGTATCGCATTGTGACCAATACATTAAGCATTTGATGGACAGTCATGTTTGGAGCAGAGCTGCCAACAAGTTTCACCTAAAGCCAAATTCAAAGCGAGAGCACTTGCAGAAACGAGACATCAATTTCACAGTGAGTCAAGCTAAGTTTGATAAAACTGAGCAGTGGCCTAGTATTTGGGAAGCCAAGGGCTGGATGATAATTTGCATTGGAAGCATATCATATGAAAGCATGCTACTGTTGGTAATTAATTCAGTTTTTAAAACACAAAGATGTGAGTCTCTGTTTGATTAATTACAAAACGTGGTGAGTCTTCATTTGTTCAAATAATTACATGAAAGTTAATTCTTATACAGTACAGAGAAGAAGAGGCATCTATAGCATACCATCCCCTGAGATTTCAGGTCTGAAACCTGAGTATTATTACCCAGAACGTAAATCTCAAGGTCAAAACCCGAAACCAGGCAACCTCATCTGAGATTCACTTTCCATAATACGCACATTTTTTTCACAAATGTATGCTTATGTGTGTATGATGGTGTTTTACAGAGGGGAACATTAAAAATGGCAAAACGCCTGCAGTCTAACCCTCACCCCATCCCCAGATTCTGCTGCCTAATTCTGCTGCTTTGGTAGACCGGCTGCAGCTAATATTGCAGCTCAGGTCATATTGGCTATATCCTAAAGCAATTAGGAGTGCTCCATGCATTTTATATAACAGATAATCTACATAGAAAGGTTTCAGTTGTTGGATGTAATGAGAGTTTACAGACAGAGGTTCAAGCTTAATATTTAAAAAAATCACATAGATCACGAATGGTATTCTCCCTAGCGTGTGCCAACAGTTCAAATAATATTCATTTAGTCTTGGTAAAACTATAAAAATATTTACTGTGTGACACATATGTAGAATAAACTAAAAATGTTTGAAAACATTTGTACTTGATATAGACTTGCGTGCTTGACAGACTTATAACTGTTTCATAACGTATTCTTATCAGACATAGTAACAGACAAGTTGTCAGACTAACAGTACAATCAGATTCCTAACAGACAACACCTTATAGACTACGCATATTATTTCTAACAGACTATGAATTGTCATTTCTTTTTCTGTCTGGCCATTGACCCACTTAACATCCATTGGCTAACACCAGACAGAATCTGATTGGTTACATAAGTTCCAAAAAGTAAATTCCACAACACAAACATTCTTGTATACCGATGCATGGCGTTCCGTGTCTAGTCATGCTGACCACGTGACCATGGAAAGTACGGACAAACGCTGGCTCTATGGCTTGGAAACAGGGATGAGCACTGCCCCCTAGAGTCAGACACGACTGGACTAAATGTCAAGGGGAACCTTTACCTTAGTATGTATGCATGCATGTATGCATGTATGTATGTACGTATGTACGTACAGTGGTGCCTTGCAAGACGATTGCCTCGCGGGGTGAAAAACCTGCAAGACAATTGGTTTTTGCCATCCTTGTGGTGTTTCGCAAGATGGTTTTTTCTATGACCATGCTTCGCAAGATGATTTTTGCGGAATGAATTAAAATTGTCTTGCGAGACACCACTGTATGTATGTATGTATGTATGTATGTATGTATGTATGTATGTATGTATGTATGTATGTATGTATGTATGTATGTATGTATGTATTTATTTATTTATTTATTTATTTATTTATTTTATTTTATTTTATTTATTTATTTATTTATTTATTTATTTATTTGTTTATTTATTTATTTATTATCGTCTTGAATTTCTACCAATAAAGGACACACTTTGAGAATGCCATGTCCAGAAAAATGCTGGTGCCACCTCTGGTCATCAAGTGTTGCTTACAGAGAACCATTTGTAATCAGTTGTAAGCAAAAACAAAACAAAAAAGGGTGGGAAGAATACTTATCAAAGAGCTGTGTTTTGCTTCGCCAGGCTACATTTTAATGAAGAAACCTCAGAGCTGCTAACAATTCACACCAGCAGAGGGGCAGAAGACCTTTGAGGCAAGCCATGTGGTCGTCATGGAAACTGCTGCTGTTTCTGTCACTCACTAGCTGTCTTACAGGTAAGAACAGAACCTTTGTACTATCCCTGTAAGAAGGTGCAAATGAAATGGAAAACACCAAAGGAAAACTTTGTCCAGGAATATATGTCTAACTGTTATTCCACACACAAGAAAAAGAGTTAATTTATACAATTACAGCTGAGCCATAACAATGCCACATCCTCTTCATCACCCTTCCTGCACATTGATACACTATGAAGAGATGTCAAGGATTTGAATATGTGGCAGTAATCCTGCAGGGTTTTTTTAAATCCCAACTAATGATTAATATAATTATCTTTTATTTATTTATTTAATTAATTATTTACAAGATTTTTTTTAGCCATGCCATTACTCAGCGACGTACAACAATTTGTAACACTCTTTGTGACATTCTCAGTCTTTTCTGCTGGAGGTAAGAAGGCAGTGGCCTAGTTCTTAAATTTTCTAAGTGGTTGGCCTTTCCATGTGGCCATTGCCCACACTGCTTTCGGTAACATAAGGACCTTCCTCAGATAACCTGTAAGACTATGATTGGCATCATATGCTATATCTCCATCCATGGAACCTGTTACTATGGGAGTGGCTATGTGCCAATCTGATAAGATGCCAATCATGTTCCTGGTCAAATATGGCGGACCTCTCCTCAAACTGTCACAGCAACATCTACTGTTGGCATTCATGTTAATATTACAGGATATACAGACCCATGTGTGTGGTGTTTCTGGTTGATGACATCGTGAGAACTTATTTACTATACATTCCCAGTTTCTTCTATGACTGGATTGGTAAAAGCTGGGGAAACTGCACCCAGGTATCTAATTTAGCACCTAATGACAAGTTGGTTTATTTCCAGAAAAAGAATACAAGGAGGAAAAGATTGTTATGCGCATGAAAATATGATGATGATGGTAAATGTTTACAAAATATGACCCTATGCATATTGTGTTATATAAAATAATTGAGGAGTGGGCTCACAATTTAAGTATTCAGTATAAGTGAGACCATAGGAGAAGTGGGGCAAGAAAACAGGCTGGGGTAAGTGAGGGAGAATAAAGTTTCCTTTCTATTTGAAATGTGGCAGTAAGGCTTGTGCCAGCCTTTCTGGACAGGTAATTGTTGAGGAAGGATTTAAAAGATAGAGAAATGGTATGGTGACAGTGTTCTAGGAGATAGCCTTGGTTATAGGGGACAGAAGGAAAGGCCCAACTGTTGGAGGAAGCTTCGTTGCCCATAGCATTTGAAAGATTTGGGATTTTACTCCTATGTCATGCTCTAGATATCATGACGGTTCTTTCCCATGGTGTAAATTATGGAGGCTTTCTTAATGAGAGTTTTGATAGCCACATTCCCAAGATGGTTCCAAAATTGTAGGCATTGATTCATATCAATGAACCAGTTCTAGCATTTTTTCGTCTCTACTGAGAACAAGCTGTTTTTAAAGTTAATGGGTCTTAATTGGGAGTTCAAAAATAAGTACTCTCAAGATACGTTATATTTGAACAAATTTAGCTATCAGCAAGGTATTGTTGCTGGGAAAATATCTTTGCCCTCCTGCTACTGGAAGACTAGAATTAAGCAGAAAGTGAACAGGGGAACTGAATGAAATAGGCATTGATGATCATCAGACCTTCTAATCAAAAAGCACCAGAGCTTTAAACTTATAAGCCATGGTGTTGAAATGGTATATATTGTGTCCTCTATCCAATGGTGGCACTTGCAAAAGAACATCTTGTCTCACTTTCTAGCTTGACTTTACATAGCTTTTACTATGGTGCTTTTATGCTAGATCATAACCTTTTAATCTTTCCTTATATAGATACTTAGTCTCAAACAGCTTTGCTTAACTTCATTTTTCCTTCATCTTTGCAATTATTACTTAGAGTAGACCAACAACAATCAACAGGACATGTGACGAACTTAGGTCAGATTGTTTTTAATGGGTCCAGTTAGAATCCAGAGCCAATTCAGAATATGTCATAATGTATTTACATGGCAAATGTACCACACAGGTAAAGGGACATTTTAAAAAAGCATTACAGTATGTGTTCACATAGATCAGACCTTCTAATCAGTAACAGTAGCTCAAAAGGTCAAGAGGTTTTCCTCCAGCCTATCTTATATACCGTATATTGCTCTTTTTGTTGACAACTTGGTATTCTACCTCTTGACTCATGTTCTTCAAAAAGGCAAATGGTTGTGTAGGAAGAGTGGCAGACTGAAATTGTGTTCATATTTGTTGTTTATTTTCCTTTATTGTTGAATTTATGCTCCACCTTTTGAGCATCTAAGGCCCTCTGTGATGGTTTAAGCCAAAAGAAAGCTATATAAAGCATAATAATAAAAGCTTCATGAATGTATTGAAAATTATTGTTATAAATGATAAAGAATCAAGAAATAAACCAGCTTCTCTGTGAAGGGTTTAGCTAGGTCTGTTACCCTCTGGCCTTATCTGGTAGTGTGAAGAAAGTCTCTGAGATCTGTTGTGATATATTTGACGGGAACTTGGAGGATAAAATGATGTCCATCTACAACGACTTGAGCTGTGCATTTTCTGCTTTGGAATGGGGTGGGATTCAATGGTCTTTGGAATCCCTTCCAGCTCTACGGTTCAATTACTTATATTGAATACAGTGGTGCCCCGCATAGTGACGATAATCCGTTCTGGATAAATCGTCGCTATCCAGAAACGTCGCTATACGGGGCAAAAAACCCCATAGGAACGCATTAAACTCCGTTTAATGCGT